CCTGTAAATAAAAATAAAATAAGCTAATCAACAAAAATTAGCATATATAAAATATGTATTAATATAATTATAGGTGTTATGTTTTCTAGATAATTTACAAAAAATCAACCGCTAACTATTACATATAAGATAAACAATGACAAAAGTGAGAGAATAAATAAGAGCCTAAATATATATATATATATATTAATCAAGCAAAATGGATAATGATTAAACTTATTGTTATTATCATTTTATTTTATTTGTTTTTATTTTTTATTTTTTTCAAACAAAGATTACATAGTTTAATGAAGTTCTCCCTGCAAGATGAATAAGCAACATCATCTTCAACAAATCAATAACATGTTCTTTATCTTCCCTCTTCTCACTCTTTGTCTCTTAGTGCCTGTTTGGTGCAGTTTAAAAGCTGCTTATTTCACATTTCAGTTTAATTTAAACTATTTTGATGTGTTTGGTTTAACTTATAACTTATAGCTTGTAACTTTTTGGAAGTCAGAAATCAACTTATTCTTTGAGTGGGGCAGGAGATGCTTAATTTATAAGTCAGAAATCAGCTTATGTTCATAGTTATAAGCTATAAGCTGTTTAGGCATAAGCTATAAGCACTTTCCCACAGTTCTACCAAACAGGGCCTTACTCCTCCATCTTCCCTCTTCTCTCTATATCCCTCTTCCCACCTTTTTAGCATTTTTTTTCCCCCGAAAGAAGTTGTTTGAAATCGTTACATAACGGTCCGTAACAGGCCATTACGACACCGTTACAGCCGCTACGGCCAACACACCTGTGAATCTCAATCACATCGCAAAAGCGGGGGGTAACACGTGGTGCCTACCATTGCAACCATTACCTAACGGCCGTAACCGTTACGTAACACCGCATTTTGAAACCTTAAAATAAATTCATATAAGATTTTTTTTTTAAGCTTGGATCACTTGAGTATTTATTCTTTTTTTGTAAGCTTTTATTTTAATTTTTTTGGGAAAGGAAATTATTCAGAATATTATAAAAGGTGTAACGGTGTGTAATGGATTGTTACGGTATCGCTACGGCTATTACGTAACACTGAAATGGCCGTTACACTTGTAAATTTCTGTCACACTACTACAGCGATCGTAACGGGTGGCAGTAACTACCACAATCGTTACGTAAGGGGGTTACATAAATGGTTGCGGCCGCTTTTTAAAACCTTGTGTGGGAGCTTGAAGATTTGTGTACAATTTCATAATGTATATTTGTTTCAGATTTTTTGCCTCTTGAAGACAATCATCACAACCAAATTGACGAATTCTGAAATCATATTTTCAAGGACAATCAAAGTGCTATATAAAACAAAATAAATACAAAATTTCTGAACCACTAAGGAATACAAGTTTAGAAGGAACAAAGTAATCTTGGTGGGTGAATATATTTAGAGAGGATATCCGAGACAGCATAAGAAACCAACTTTAAAAGAAGAACCATTAGCATATTAATGATCTAGGGAGTAATTCTTGTATTTATTCTCAGGTCTCAGGATACATGTGCTACTCAGAAAAACATTGGATACAAGAAGTAAATCAAATTACATATCAGTTCGTGCTTGGATTGAGCTGGCTTGACATAGGATTTCAGTTCATGGCATTGCAAATGCATAACCCTAAGAACTAGTTGGCCGCACTTCAAATTGGAACCCTTGGAGCAAGAGTGAATCAAATTACAATAAGGGTCTGCTTGATTAGCAAGATTAATAGTGAGGGAATTAACAATCCATGAGATTAGTGTAGGATTGGTTATTCAGCTGAATTAGTGAGACATAATTCTCTCTTATCCACGTTTGTTTGGCAATAGATATAGAAATATATAATCTCAATTATATATATGTTTTGTCTTATTAGTCATGCATGGAATTAAAAGAATTATCAATTTTGTTGGATAAAATGGCAATTGAAGTCTAATCCAATAAATAAAATTTGCAACCAAACAATGGAATGTGAGTTCTATGAATTAATAATCCCAATGCTATGGTATAATCTGTCCAATCAAACAAGCCCTAAACACATAATTACCCACAAACAGTACCTATGTGTGCTCGGGTATGCATACCTAGAGAAAGCCCATACATGCATATAAATTTATACCCGTCTATTTGCATACAACATATAAGAAAAAGAAAGCAAAGCACAAATTGGGTCTAGACATCAACTCTATTACCAGAGTCTCCTTATGTGTGGATTCTAAATGAATACTACATTGATAAAAATATGATCAATTGTCAGTAAATTAGATTTTAAAGTAGTTGTTTTCAATTAAGCAAGCCCAATTTGGCAAAAATTGCCACAACAATTGTACATATAATCAATCATATACAAACTACAGTGAGACTAATTAGAGAGATGATGAAAAAAATTACCTTTTCCATGGAGATACTGATGTTGTTGGAGCCTTTGATGATGGCTCTGCAACGACAATCTCCGCGAGGAATCGCTGGGGAAACATGAAACGAAGCATTTGAAGAGTAAGGAGACGAGTTTGAGAGGTCTCTCAGTCGTTGGAATCGGGTAGTAGGGATGAAATACGAGACTTGATTGGTATTCAAAACCCTAGAACAAGCTCCCAACTCCATCAAAGAAGGAAAAAGGAAGTGGAAGTGGAAGTGGTGTTCGTGGCCTTTCTCTTTTGGCTAGGGGTGTAATTTTCGCCTATGGCCCGCGGGCGGCCGCCCGAGGGCCCGAGGTGGGCCCGGCTCATTAAGGCCCGTTTAGGCTTGAGCCCAAGCCCAGCCCGATGCCTTGGGCCAGGGCCAGGGCCTTCGTTTTGAAGCCCGGCCCGGCCCGGCCCATGGGCCCGCAGCCCGCTTGACCCGGCTCGTGGCCCGCTTAAGGCCTGCCCAAAAGCCCGGCCCACCCGATGCCTAGTGTTATTTTTAATGAAAAATAATAAAAGTTTGGTGAAAAAAAAAAAAAAAATGTTTAGGCCCGCCCAAGCCCGAGCCAGACCCAACCCCAGGGGCCCAGCCTACTGGCCCGAATACCCCTGGGCCTGGGCTAGGCCCTGGGCCTAGTTTCTTGGCCCGTGGGCCGGGCCGGGCCAAAATTACACACTTAGGCGTTTGCTCCGAATTGTAACCCTAATTTGATTCATTGGGGCCCAAACTCCACGTTGCAATGTTTGACAACAAAAAAACGACGTGGTTTTGTTTAAGGTTAAAAAAAAAAATTTAAAAAACAAAAGATAAATACAACGATATTGCAGAGTATCCACCTGTGCCAAATTAGGCTTTGATATCGATTTTGGTTTGTCAAAAATTGGTTTTTTGTTTTTTTGGGTGCTAAAATCTACTAAAAAACAAGGATAAACTATATTGATCCTAATAGTTGGATTTAATTCCCAACAAGTCCGATTAAAAATAAGTGTTGGTAAAATTGTCGCTAAAAATAATTTTTTTGTGACAATTTTTTATATATATCGCTAAAAATTGACAATTAGTGACTTTTTTTATTATGATTTTTATAAATTGTCACTAAAACTTACAATTAGTGACTTTTTTTATGATGAATTTTTCCCATAGGACCTATTAGACAATAAGCCCACTTATTAGGACCTATACGTAAGTACTCCAAAAAAACAATAGATTAAAATATTTAATAAGAATAAAATATCACATTAAATTCATAATTATTTCACTTTTTTTCTTCCAAACATCACATATTACAAAAAAATCTAACTCTCTTTCCAAACAAAAATATTTTAACTTACTAAAATAGCAAACTCCTTAAACGAGGCTTGTATTACTGAAACTAGGATTCGCTCTTGATTAATTTGATACTTTGAAGGAGCCATATGATTTTTGAGATAGGTTTCTCTTCGGTTCGAGATCGGATTAGAGCGTATTGTTGAGTTCTTAAAGGCTTATCACGGGTCCTGTTTTGATAATCTGAATCGTCAATATGTAGAACTCGTTGAGTACTTTAATCCTGTAAAAAATCACGTTGATTGGGTATCAATAGCTACTTGATCGGATTAGATTTCTGTCAATGGTAAATATAAATTTTAAAATAAATTGTTAAATTAAATAGCTATCAATATCCGGTCAATGTAATTTTTTATATAGATAAAGTACTCGATAAGCTCTACATATTGATCGATTCAGATTATTGAAACAAGACCCGTGATGGACTCCATGAATTCAACAGTACCATCCAATCTACTTGTAAACTGAAAACAAGCCTGACCCATGTTGTTTTGTTCTCCTTCTTGAATCAATTCTGAAACCAGGGTTATCTTTATTTGACTTGACACAAGGAGTTATGTTGTTTGGTTTCTCAAAGTGGGGGTTTTTTCACAGTTTCTCTGGCCAGGATTTGTTTAGTCGTAGTTGATTTCTTCTGCCACGTTTTTGTTTAATCCAATTTTTGAAAACTGACATGCCGCATTGATTCTTATTGTGAATTTTTCTCTAATTCTTTTTATTTTTTATTTTTATCTATTAAAATGAATGATTAATTATTAAATTAATATTTAAGAGAGTTGAACTCACATTCTCTTTTCCTATATTGGTACGGACAGTTGGACAGATTTATACCAACAGAGTGAAGAAAGAGGAGGAGAAAAAGAGGGTTGCCGGAAATGGTGGCACGGCGAAGTGGGGCTTTATTTTTTTTAACCTCCAATAAAACAATGTAATTTAGATAAAAATGACGTCGTTTTGATATAGTACTGGAGCACTCCAGAGAAATCCACTTTAGACGATCTAGACGCCGCACGGCCAGCCCCTTCCTCTGCCACTGTCACCATTACCAGTCCTGGCTACGATTACATATCCAGACACACAGGCAGTTCAGCATGTGCCCAAAACCCAACAAATTATTGGGGTCCACTACCATATCTTTTCATTACCACATACATGAACCACATATATTTTGAGAGATGGTTAATTAACATCATACCACTTTATCATCCTATCTATTCACCCTCTGCCACGTGGCAGGAACTCATTAACCACTTATCTTCTATCCTTCCCCCCATTGCCACTGCCCAAGCAGGCCCAAAATCAGTTACAGACTGAAAAAAAAGAAAAAAGAACAAACAAACTTTCAAGAGGCAAAGCTCTTTTATTTCCTCTTCTTCTGTCTTTTTTATTCGAACTTGTGCATATTTCACAATCATGGAGACCGGCATCGTATGCCGCGCTCGCGCTGCGTTCCTCCCCTGTGTTTCTTCTCAACATTCCACCTCACTAGTTTCTCCATCTTCTATTTCTCCATCTTTCAGCTCCAAGGTACACAAACTTCAAAGTTCACTAGTGTGTGCTTGTGTTTGAATTGTTCTTGTCCTGAAATCTGAATTTTTTACCTCTTGTGATGGTACCCTGAAAAATATGACTGATCAAGATTTAGATAACAAGGAGCTTGATATGGTATTTGGTGACTACATAGTCACACATAATTGACATAAGCATACAATTTATACTTAAATTGAAAAGAAAAAATTGGTGAATGAAAAGAACTTGAAAAGGGTAGTGTAATGAATTGCAGAGTCTGAAATCAAGCTCGCTTTTGGGGGAATCGTTGAGGATCATGCCAAAGGTATCGGTTAAGGTGTCAAAGACAAAGAATTCTTCTCTTGTAACCAGATGTGAGATTGGAGATAGCCTGGTAAGTTCATACTAAGTGTCATTTTCAGTTCACAACACATAACTTGAGTCACGGAAACACCCTCTCAAGTAATAGGGTAAAGCTGTGTACATTTTGCCTTCTCCAGATGCCTCTTTAGCAGGAGCCTTGTGCACTCAGTTCGTCCTTTTAAGCCGATTCAGATGTCGGGAAAAGAAAGTAAAGTGTACAACAATAATTTTGCCATAACTTTTTCTATGTTCAGTTAGCATGAAAGTTGTGAGACTCGTATCTTTAACTTTCCCACTGTGATAAAATTTTGCAGGAATCTCAACAATACACGTTCCTTTTCCTAATAAATGAACACACTGAAAACAAATTTCCTTTCCCTTTACTACACTGTTCCTAGGAACAACTTTCTTGCACAAAATTCCTGAGGATTGAATGGAGCCTTAATGAAGGATGTGAACTTTGTATGTATTGAACCAAAATATGAAAACTGAGTTTGTAATTGTAGGAAGAGTTCCTTAATAAAGCAACACCAGATAAGGGATTGATCAGGCTGATGGTGTGCATGGGTGAAGCGCTTAGAACCATTGCATTCAAAGTCAGAACAGCTTCTTGTGGAGGAACAGCCTGTGTGAACTCTTTTGGAGATGAGCAGCTTGCTGTTGATATGCTTGCCGACAAGCTCCTATTTGAGGTTAGACTTCAACAGTCTTTGTTTCTTTAATTTCTCTTACATACTGTTCAAAACCGAGATTGGAAACCAGCAAAACTCAAACATGATTCAGAAACTTACCGTAATTCTAAACTTACTGCGTTATGGAATAATAAATTTTAAACCTGTAAAATCATTTTCAGTTTTCATAACGTACATTGCTGATTTTTAGTTGAAATTTAAGGCACATATGTTGTACTTCTAACCTCATTTGAATACTATGCTTTCAAGTGGTTTCAACTTGAAAAATCTAGAAATCCCCTAGATGTTGATTTGTGATTATGTATCAATTTTAAGCAGAATATAACAATCCCAATCAAACAATCAAGACAAAGAGACACAACGATTTAACGTGGAAAAAACCACAATTGGGACACCTCCAACTGTGATAAAAAAACCACAGGCAACAGCCACAAAACAATCCACTAAGAAGATTTAAAGAAATTACACAGGTATACTCTCAATTACCTAGCAAATCCACGCCTAATTGAACCAACCGTGGTGGTGGCTTGGAGGAAAAGAGTGCGGAAGGATATGGGGTTTTTCTATAATTGTAGGGGTGGTGGTCATCGATTTGTGGTGGGCAGCCGTGGATTTTGTAGGCAATGCTAGGCGAGGATTGGTTTTTTGGATTTGTCAAGATTTGAAGTTAGTTATGTATTTGCTTTGGTTTTTGAAGGATTTTTTGTTGAAGGGTCGTGATGAGAGACTGAAGTGGATGGTTGTGGGTTTAGGTTGTGAGTTGTGGTAGGGTAACAAATGGTGGCGGTTGTTGGTGTTTCTACTACGTGACAGAGTAAGAGAGAAAATTGGGTGACAAAAATAAAGGGGGGTATGCGAGGGTTAATTTCATTTTTTTTCATTTTTATTATAAGGGTATAAATCACTCTGTTTGGTTTTTGGAGTTTTCAAAAATAATTTTCAAGTTTTCAATTCATATTCTTTGGTTTTTTAATGATTTTTTAAAATATTTAA